CGGGTTCTTCTGATCCTGAAAAATGTGCTATATTTTACCCGCGTTTTTCAAAAAATCATTTTTTTAATCTTAAAAAAATAAAATAAAATAAAATAACGTTTCCACAAGACAGTTGTTCAAAATACTCTTCGACTTCATTTTCAGAGTTCAATATATTTTTGTCCTGTTATAAAGGCGGATAAAACTATCAACATTTTTCTGAATCATTTTTGCTATTCTGACCTCAAATGTACCTACTTAATACAAAAAATATATTAAATTTTCATTTCAACATTTTTTTGATAAATTCAAATAACCACTGCACTGACGTGATAAAATATACGGAAAACCCGTGTACATGTACACAGGATATTGGGTGGTTCTGTATAATGAAGTTTTAGCGTGTGTAAATTAGGTACTTGCGATTTAATTTTATATAGGATATCAACTGCTATTTTATCTTTTCTTTCTATTGAAATATATTCAAATGCATGTTACTAAGCAAAAATAGGCGCATAAGTATATCAGAGAAATGATTCACCGTTTTGCCAAATTTTGAAAAATTTAGTTCAAGTAAACTTGAACTCATGTTTTTTTCATGCATATTTAGTCATCAATCTGAGTTAACAACTACGTTAAGCCAACGCTGATTTTCTTATCTTGACACTGTTTGAACGAACAGATATTTTTGCACACACGGAAAAATCACAACTTAGTGTTTGAGTAAAAAATATTTAATGCTCTTTCAGGCAAAACAAAATGACGTTGATAAAATTTTCCAAATCTATGAAGGAACTTTATTACTTTAGGTTGAACGAGACTTGAAATTTGACAAAGAAATGTCCTCATTCTGCTGATACAAATGCATTTTGGCAGCAAAGGAATAGTGATTTTGTGAGGATCAATGATCAACATAAGTAGAAAACTTTGGGGTGACGAGCAGAAAAATGTATTTATTATGAATGATATTGTAATAAGTACCATCTAAGAGTCATAGTTTTTATAGGTTCACTCAGAAAAAGTTAAAAATAACTAGGTATTCAGTTATAATAGATAATGACTAAATTGAACCTTATTAAGATTAATCAAAAACTGCGAAAATTTAAGATGTTAAAAATGGCTAGATCACACCATTTCGAGTAAAAAAGTGATTGAGCTCTTTGAATTGATCTAAGTGATTGAATAGATCATTAAGTAGACATTAGAAAGCCAGTGTATTGGATCATCCAGAATTTCAAAATGACTGTTTTACACTACTGCGCTCTTTCCTTTAAAAAATCACACTATGGCAAGTAGGAATTAAACATTTTTACAATCTTTAGAAAACACTTGACTAAAAGTAAAATGCTGAAAGGTTTAACAGCTCATTAACATCGGTCTCTAAATAGAGGTATTTTTTTGAAAATTTGCATCTCCCAAACTAAAGCAAGTAGCAATTTCAAATCTTCACCGCATTTAGAAGACACTTGATTCTGAACATACTGAAAGTTTTTGATAAATCCCCGTAAATCCCAAGTTTTGGCAACTTATTAACATCGGTCGCCAAATGGATGTTTTGACTCAACTGCACTATCTCCTATGAAAATTCGCATCTTTCAAACAAAAGCAAGTAGCAATCCGAAATTTTCACCATTTTTAGAAGACATTCGACTCATAACATTCTGAAAGTTATAAACATGGCCTAGAATCCTGATTTTTGCCAGCTTAGTAAGTGTGCAGCATTGCATTTTATATTGAAAATTTAAATCTTTCAAATTAAATCAATCAGAAATTTCAAATGTTCATCTTCCTTAGAAAACATTTCCCTCTAAAGATGCCGAAACTTTCATAAAAATCGCAGCTAATTTTAAGTTTTGCAATCTTGCGATTTGCATCGATGTCAAAATGGATGTTTTTAATAATCTGCGCTTTCTCCTTTAAAAATTCGCATCTTCCAAACTAAACCAAGTAACAATTTGAGTTTTGCATCTTTTATATTTCTTCACTTTTTACTCTTTTCCATAAGATAACATTCCTAACACGTCCCACCATACCGATGCTGCACGGGCAAAAATCAATCATTAACAAATGCGCCAAAAACATTAACAAGTATCCACCAAAACTAAGACAAATTAACAAAAACGAATTAACGAAAAAAAATCAAACAAACTAACTAAAACTATGCCAAACATGTACAAAATGGATTTAAGAACAAATCCGTTTTCAGCTGCAAGCAAAATCTATATTTGAAGGAAAAAAATCAGTTAATAATTACTAACCGAAACTACCAAAAACTAAAGAAATTAACCGGAATTAGCTCAAGTACCTACAAAATGTGTCACATTAACTGTGGGTCACTAACATCAATTAACATTGTATTTTCAATGAGTGAAAAGTGATCGAACACTGCATTTTCCCAAGAAACACATTTAAGAAAAGTTGTTAGTAAAGGTATTAAGTATCTATAAGATGATCATTTTGTTAACTGTTAACTTTTAGCACTAAATTTACCAATGTAGAAATCGATTTGGCTGCGTTAACTTTGAAGCATTGAGCTCGTTATAGGAGACATATTTTAGACACCCTTTATTTACAACCAATTACTTCAGAAGTTGATAATATTTTTTCAACTCACATATTGTGTTTTTTACAGAAGGTTTCAGCTAAGAAAATCTTGGTCAATTTTTCGTTCTTTCCTTGCTTTACACTAAATGTTACTAATCCAGAGATCGTTTACATTGTTTAAGTAGTAATCGTATGAGTAATTAATGAAGATTTATATATGGAACACTTTCTACGCACTTCAGTACGATTATCATAAGATATGGATGTTTCTGCAGTTGCAAATAGAGAATTCTGGCAAATATCAAGCGTGGCAGGATCTGATCATTAGATTTTTTAGAAGCAATGAGTCCAAGAATTCGAAAAAGTGCAGATCAATTTTTTTTCTTCACTTCGAAGAAATGACGCAGATTTTAGAATCTTGAGTGCATACAAATAAGCATGTCATGGAAAATTACCATAAATTGTAGAAAGTCTTCAATTCGACTACTAAAAAAATAGACAGATGTCCGGTTTAGGAAAAACATGCATAGAAGACTTATTCAACAATGAGGAGTTGTGACAGAAAACAATTGGCAATTTGACGCGTATTAAGAAGTTAATTAGGAGAATATCACAAGGAAATTCTTTGAAAACACAGTTTTAAGCAAGTTGAATGAATAATATTGTTAGCAGATGATCGGTAGTGCGAGACCGCTCCACTCTCACATCATGACGTAAATGCAGAAATATCGCTTGTTCCATCAAAAGTAAAAAAAATTCTCATTGATTTCATCTGGTAGATCTAATTTGAACGATACAACAAAGCTGTCTTCGATGTTTATCATTTATTCATAGCTGGGACCAGACTAGGTGTCTCCTGGAAGCATTCAGTGCACTCTGCAGGCGTGCAAACAAAGAGATTATGAGAGCGAGGGACTCGAATATATAATGGGTTCCCCTTGGGATAGTCGGATTTACAATGGTATATGCGATGAACCAACTTACCCCGATTGAAATACAGTTCTCCTCTCCTCCAGAGGGAAATTTAACCACAAACTTGGACCCTGCCTTTTCCTCTGAATCATTCAAAGGCCGAAACCGACACACGACTTTTATACTGTCCTCGGCCGGTATTTCGCGTTCCGCCGACATTTTCTTACACTTTAACACTCACAGCACGAAATAAATAATTATAAACTATTACAAAACTAAATTGATACACATTTGTATTAGAGTTTCGCTGCACTTTTTTCTTGTAGAAACTGACGTTTCATCTACATCGAACAGTCAGCCATTTTGCTTTTCCTTGTGTCAGGATGTGTTAATTTTAAACGTTCCATTCCAACGTTGCCATTTCTACTATAAGTAGAATGGGAAAAAAAATTCAATCTATTTTTAATAAACTGAATTGAGATTATAATTTTTTCATGATTTGTCTATTTTTTGCAGTTTTTAATGTGCACCTTCTTCAAAATAATGCAATTTTTTTTAAATCGTTTGGTAGCCACTAACTTTTTGTTAAACTTTTGTATTTTCAGAATATTATTAATTTAATTAAGGATATCAAATTAATAAGCAAATCACGATCATAAACTTTAATGTGGGTATTGTTTGAAAATCTAAAAAAGTAGGGGGTTTTTCTGAAAATTATCATCCAAAAGTTAACAATCGGCAACCTTAAATTCTGTGCCCTTCTATGGCTCCATCTGCTAACTAATCTAAAATAATAGAATATGCTGCTGAAATTTAAAGGAGAAAATGTATAAAATTATAGGAATACTATGGATATATTTATTTATGTCAAGGTTTCGTGGCATTTGCTTCAAATTGGTGAGTTTTTGGGACATTTAGCCACCCGAGAAATATAGTTTTCCCCCGATGTTTTGCACGCATGAACCCATTCATGCGTGCATCTACAGAGGTGAAAATGATGTAGTAATAGTTTAATTTTTAGATTAATTAAAGACAATAGTTACTGGGAAAACATGCACTTCAACAACGCAGACACGGCAGTATGAACAATAACTACGGAAAATTAAGAATCAGATTAACGCTGTTGCCTAATTTAAGATTAGGTATTTTTTCAATTTTGCGTTTATAAGCCATTTTAAGCATTTATAAATGCATTATCTGTAGGCTTCAATAGTATTCTGGGATGTCACCAGAGAAATTTCGTCAATTTCGAATCACCCTGCATATTATCACACAAAAACTCAACATTGTACAAACGGATGCATGGGACACGGGCTTAAGCCCTTCATGTTTAGAATCATTGCGAATTTAATTCACAGATGTCCTCTTTCTGAGATTGACATGTGTTTGAAATTTTCTTCCTTCTCGTTGATTATATCGTCATGTTTGCTTCCATTATACCACAAAGGTGCTGAAACATCTAAAGAGTCATTTATAATCAAGTTTAATTATATATTCAACTTTATTCCCCATGAATTTGCACAGAATATGAATGACGTTTAATTACACACATTTTCTAATGTCAATGTCAAAAGTCATAACAGAAATTCCAGTATCAGTAATGTCGGTGTTTGTTACAAAGATGACAGAGTACACAGAGAGCCTCTGTTGATATGTGGTTTGTTAGTAAACCGTTTTAAAAGCGAATTTTATCAACACTTTTTAAACTGCTCAAGGAAATATAGCAGTATATTTAACATCAATGTTCTTATATTGTTTGCTGCACGAATCCCATAGTAATCCCTAAAATTGTAGTCATGGAAAGCCTAGGAGATAGAGTCTATGCAGCAGAGAGAATTATGAAAAAGCGTATACGCAAGGTAAGATAATCACCAAATGCCACTTTATCAGCAGAACTAACTATTAGATCCTTCTGTCCGTAGGGTGTTGTAGAGTATTATGTCAAGTGGAAAGGTTGGAGCCAAAAGCACAACACATGGGAGCCTGAAGAAAACATTTTAGATAGTAGACTTATTCAGCAATTTGAACACTCTCACAAGGGCGAGGGTGCCAAACGGGGCCCCAAAAAGAAAGAAAAAAAAGGCCCGCCAAAAGATATAGAAACTGAAGATGAAGGTGAGTGGAACTGTAAGGAAAACAGGGCAAATCATTCAGATAACTTTTTAGGCGAGGAAAGCCAAGATGAGGGTCCGGCTCCAGATAGAACAGTTGAGAAGGAAAAAATAAAAATAGAGAAAAGTGAGGAGAAGCAGGTACCTGCATCCAACTCAAAAGACAAGGAATTTGCAAATTTCAGTGGTAGGTATACAAGGAAACATGTACCCTTAGATTAGACGCTAGTTTACGCACGTTCTGTTTTCAGTGGAAAGGAAAATTCCTAAGGAACCAGTCTCCGCAACGATTCCCATGGAGAAAGAATGCAAAGCATCACCTAAATCAAGTTCAGAAGAAGACGATATACCTCTAATGCCCAGGCTCGAGATAGGCACCAAAAGGAAAGCTGAAGTGCTCTCAAAGGAAAGTGGCAAAATTGGTGTAACAATCACCACTAGCAGTACTGCTAATGATACTCCACCCCCAGCAAAGGTATTTGTAGCTATCTTGCTCGGTAAGATTTTTGCAAATAGCAATGCCTTTAGGTAGCCAAAGTGTCTTCAAAACATCATGCTATACAATCCCCAAAAGTTCATGTGAAGCAACAACCCAAAAGCGAAGAGGATCCTGCTCCGGTCACTTCCGCCATACCATCTACAGCTAGTCCCACCATTCTCACAGCTACAGCACCAATATCCAGTCAGGTAACAACATTTTTCGAAAATGGCCTTCTTGTAGAAAGTTTCACAAAATTATAAAAACGTAAGCGGAAAGAATAGGAAAAACTTGTGATTCATTCCAAGACGTTTTCTTTCTTAACAATGAAAAAGGTAACCTTTTCAGGGTAAAACTCAGCTAGACAAAGACAACAAGCAGGCGATTACAGATGCTGCGTTACCACACTGTTCCACAAAAGAAGCAGCTTCACCTACAGAGACTGAAAAGCGACCGGAAAATATCGAGGTTAGTGGTTAACAATTTTATTGAAAACAAGCGGCGTTTTCGGGATAAACGTACTAACTGAGTCTTTAACGCAAGATTTCGTTCATTCTGGTGCCTGATCAGGACTGTTTTTTCTACAAAAATTAATAGTAGCGAGGAAAATTTAATTGAATTTAATATAATAAAATCAAATATACCCTAAACACTTACTTGTTATCAACTGTCCACACTGGTATCTGATCTAAGAGTATGGAAATTAAATTTTAAAAAATGTTTTATTTCTGGGTCTATTTTTTTGGGAGGGGGGGCCGCGGGTGCATACACACTGAAGAAACTCCAATCAAAAGAGATTTTGTTTTGTAATAAAGTCTTTCGACAAATACAAGCACTTTCGACAAATACGTCAGAATAAAGAAGGTTTGGCTCAATACTTCCTATACCCATCTTTTATAAGTCGCGAAACTTCAAGTTTCTAAAATAATTGCGGCATATTTGAGGGAATTGTATTGGAAACATTGTATCGCGGTGGTCCTAACAAATAATTGCTTAGATAAGTAAACAATTTAATATTAATTTGAGAGTAATTTAACTGTTTAATGGAAAGAAATGTTTAAAAATTTAAGTAAACAAAAGAAAATGTCTTAATAAATGTTTAAATACGCAACTTTTCTGGAGTAGCATGTAATTTTTCCTTTCTTTATTCCGGATAAAATATGACGATGATAAGTTTGAAAAGAAAATAGCGGTTAGGCTTAAACGTACTTTACTCTAACGTTGGTTGGGACAACCTTTACAAGCAGATTCCCATATAAACTCCAATGCATCTCATACTACTGAGTAGTAATATGAGATGTACATGTAGCTTCATTCCACCGCTGAATCAAGCACAAATTTCCACCACCCACACATAAAACTTGCTGGAATTTTAAGAATCAATTCAGCACACTAATTGGCTTTAAAACAAAACTAAATCTGAGAAAAATATTTCAATATACAGGTGCAGCCACGAAAGGAGGATAACAAACCAAGTGGGAAAAGCTCAAAAATTGAAAATGATTATGAAGAGTTTACAAGTTTAAGTTCGGACTATTGGTTGGCAAGAAATCCCGTGGCAAATCAAGTGTTTATTACGGATGTTAGTGTAAATTCCAAGAGTGTCACAATAAGAGAATGTAAAACTGAAAAAGGTTTTTTCAAAGTTAGGGAAGGAAAATAATCTGAATATAACCCTTCTTAAATTAATAATGCTGTTGTATGCATATAAAGTTAAAACGTGATGTTTGTATTTGCTGTTTAAACGGAACGAACGCCTCTTTACAAAATTTACATCGAGTTTACAAATAGTGTAACTAAAGCTTTGCCTAGGCTAAAACTAGGCAAAATCACTTCATAAAAATACGGGGCACAGTTTATATGAACATGGGCGTTTTATCGACAAAATCGAAAATTTATTTTGGCCAACTAATGTATTAATAAGATAATAAGGAGAAATCAGATTCATATCAAATCTACTCATTTGTTGAATATTTGGAATAGGTACAACTCGCATGAAATAAATAAAATAAATGAATCCAATTAAAATTATTTCATTCATGTGAATTGTACTTATTTATTTATTTTAGTTTTAAGGAAGATGTCCACTATGGACTCATATACATTTAATTTGAATGAATTCATCTAATTACTACAACAATATTTGTGTAAATACTCGAAAAATACGGTTACTTACTAAAGTGGCTCTGTTCTATACAGATAAAATATTGTTTTAAATGTGGAACGTTCGAATAAAGCGGAAGTAGACGTCGCTTATCGAATCCATTTAAATATTATATCTTGTATATTTACGTTCAACCAAATATTTTGAACATTTTTTATGTCTGTAGTTTTTTGACTATCTCAAACGGTTTTGAAAATATGTGCATTTTATTATATTAATTAGAATCAATGGTTAATTGCGCAGAACCGGCTACAACGTTCATGACTGCATCTCAATAATTTATTTTGATTTATTTTCCTAATAATATATAAATGTATATTTCTATAATTTATTACAATAAAATGCAAATATTTGCAAAACTTCATAGTTCATAAAATGTTCAAATCTTCAGGAGAACATTTATTATTTATTATTATTAACTATTTAAAATAAGAGACTTGACGTCTATTTTCGCTATAAACAATTTTTTTACTGCCCTTAAAAAAATTTATGGATACAGCAAAGCCGCTTTAAATTTCAGATTTATTGTGACTGTATTTTTCGAGTTACAGATGGAAGTCCATATTCGTGGGGCACTCGGTATACTTGTACAATGCCAATCAGGTTTGCTTGCATACTTTCTCAAAATTCGCTGAAGCATCTCAAGTTAATGATCTCTCAATCAAAATCGCCCCCGGTAATTTATTAATAATTGTAAATACATTGATGTCTTTTACTTAGCAAGTATAGCCATATTGACTATGTAAAAGTACTACTAGTACTATATTTTATAGTACAATTGTAAAGAATTTTGAACATTTACACACAAAAAATGTGATACTTCTTTCAAATAATGAATAAATGTTTTTTAACCGATGTAATAAATGCCCAGTTATGAAAGTGTTGAATTAATAAAAACTCGAATTTAGGGCAATTGTAGCAAAGTGTTTTACGTAAAAGTTTATTTGTTGAGAAATACCATTAATTTACTGAATAAGTACAAAGGTAATAAATAACATCCTATAAGCAAAATGCTGTTTTCTCAAAATATTGTATATAGTTGTAAATTGGTGTACATGGTTTCGATCGAATTCAAGATAAAAAAAATTGTCCCCGAAAGATATTCTGCTTATTGTTTCCATTCTATTCATAACATGAAACTGTCAAATTTGCATGTTTTTTAATAACGCTATATTCATAAATTTATTATTATTATTATTATTATTATTATTATACGTATTTATATTATTATGACAAATTTAATTGAACTATATATATATATATTGTATAATATAAATGTTTAGTGATAAGTAATTAAAAAATATCCACATTGCTAGATAGCTAATTTTGTAACGTTTTATATACAATTTCAAAACATAAATATGTATTATTTGGTTTCGCTAAATGCAATTGAATATGTAAATAATGTTGCAAGTATTTTTCCAGAGCGGATTTTGTACGAAACATGATTTTAATTTGTTTAAATTGTATTTCAGAGCTACTTATTTTACTAGTTCCTCGCATAATACGTGGAAAAAACTGTTTCGTACGCACAGAGTTTTTATAGGGTATGCTTGATCAAACTCAATTAGTGTTTATATTTTCATTATAGTGTCCACTTTCAAATGGAGTGATTTCTGCCCGGATAATAATTAAAGTTCATGCAGTTTCGATACGTAAAAACGTTTTTTTGTAATATGTTCTATTTTCGATCTATATTATCGTCTCCAAATCTGCCAGGTATCTAAAATATTCCTTATAAATTAACGAAATGTTATTATATTAACACTTGGTGCAGTCAACGCAGTGTTAAATAACTATAATTACTTTAGAACTGTTCGTTATGCAAATTCTCACGGGTAAATTGTTAAACTTATTTGGCAGAATTTGAAGCAAAAACCGTATTCAGTTTTAAGGTGCAGATTGTATGGCTGCTTTTAAGAATTTCTGTGATATCCACGTTTAAATTGATTTACGGTAATTTCCTAGGAGTCATCCTCTCGTGTTTAAAACTAAAAATGTTCTTACCCTGTAGTTGATGAACATTTCTTAATGGTGTTCTTGGGAAACTGCGTTTGTCCATCACATTTCACGCATTTAAAATCACTACTTTTGCACAGGAAAACAGAGAGTTTATTCGCTAATTATTATTAAAAAATTTGGCTCCCGGAAAATTACATAATTCATGCATAGTTTTTTTACAGGATAATTAAAAATTCAGTGCAAAAATAAGGAAAAAGTGCATATAAACATTAGTCTGCAAACGGTTCGTTTTCAAGAGTCTGAAAGTTTAAAATTACGTTGTCAAAATCAGATAAAAGTAGAGGTGTTTTTCTGACATATTTGCAAATAACTGAAAGACGGTGGCAGATAGGAAAAAATGCAAGACAAAAAAGTTTTTAAATTAACAAGGACTTAGCAAGAAAGTTGTAACAGCACAGGGTGCTGTTGTCAGCACCCTGTAGAATTTAACAATCAGTTGGCATGTCTAATAAAATAGAGCAAAATAAATTTTCTGCTTCAAATTTAAATCAACTTTGAAATCCTGTATTTTGAAAATGAAGCGTTTGCACACTAATGTTTGTATGCACTTTTTTCCATATTTTTGGACGTAAAACGCGGTTCTAAAATTAATACACTCAATTTTGAATCACCTAGTATAGCAAAGCAACTCCCTTAACATTGAACCCTTAGGAACGATGTAGTTATCTGCAAAAAACTTCATTTATACCTGATTTATTTGGTTCCAACTTGAGGTTCTATCAACTAAAACGGTTTCTTTCACTATCAAGTATTCGATATAAATATAATAATTCGCAAACCGGCAACTATTGTTAAATACCCGTGATTTATCTGGAACTGCGATTGTGACTAATAAAGGACAATGATTAGTTCAGCCAAAAATTTTACAGTAACAGACAAACTGAGCGAGTTTATGCGTTTGTATATGATTTTGCTAAGTATATTTATTGTATTGTTACATGATGTCACCTTTGAGGCGCCCAAGTAATCTCGCGAAATAGAGAGCAGGTTCGACGAAGAGTGATTCATATCAACGCTTGATATGAATATATATAAAATAAGAGAACTGAGCTTCTACCTCACGATGTTACTTGTTCATTTGAACAAAGTCTCATACTTCTCCTATTTATTCATATTGGCTGTTTACTTTGGGATGGATTGGTATTATTATACGATTTTTAATTGATTCGTTTTTTATTACCTTGTTTGTCCAACATAATTAAAGTGGGGCCAAACTATTTTTTTAATTTTATTTAATTCTCAAATATATAATAACATATTAAACGACCTACAATGAGAGAAAAAGATATTCCATATCAATTATAAAATAGAAAATACTTATACATATCGTACTTGATGGTGATATTAGACTTTTCGAGGGTTAGTTTTAATGGACTTTACTGCACACAAACAAAACGAAATTCTACTATAGTGTAAGGCTTGCTTCCAAGCTTGTCAACAAGTCAACAATTGTTGAAGAATTTGGTTTATCACCATCGGCCGTGTAGCTCCTTAATTTTATTTTTAAATCACTTTCATATTGCACAATGGATAGTTGCCTTATTAAAAAATATACATATTTGCTCTAGTGAAAGAAATATTCGTGTATCATCACTAACAGTAATTACAATAAACACGTAAACTGCTGATTACTGTAAAAGCTTCCCTTTTTATCCAGGAATTTCAAAAAAAGTATCCCTTATTTTTCGACGCAAAAGAACATTGAACACTACTGAGCGTGTCAGTTCTCTTAAGGAAATCAGACTAGCTTTAGACTTTATTTTAGCGAATCTCCAGAATTGAACGATTTGACTAGCAAAAATTATACAAATAATGAAACTTGGAATTTTCAATAATTAGGTACTTACCGCGACAGGAACGGGGAATATGTCACCGAATTCTTGCTTTTAAACTTTAACAGTAGCAGGCACTTCCACTATGGAATTGTACCTGTTTATTTTCCTTCCTTTCAGCAGCTTTATATTATCACTTATGGAAGAACGTTTCGAGAAATAGTCTACTAATGGCTGAGCGTTTAGAATCGAGGCAAGGAATTGTTCCACTGTGATGTACCACTGAATTTCTGTTCTCGGTGTAGATGGATTGCCATTTTTGTCTGGAGTCTGCAAAAACAAAATACAATTCTTACCATCTGCAGATTCATCAATGCTAGCTTTCTCAGAACAGTTACCTCAGCTTCATCTGTAACATGAGATTGAGCACAAGCGGCTGCAGCCGCTGTTGCAAGACTATCCTCGCTTTCATCTCTGCCCACAAAAAACTGCTTTCCTACATCGCCTAATTCTAAAAGTAGCGTGCCTACATCTGCGATAGCGTGGTAAGTATCCTAAATTCATTAATTTACTATAAGCAAGGGATAAGACTAAGGTCGTAAGCGACTTACCAATTCTTCCGGCTCTGTTTGGAAAATATCATACACGGTCTTCCACAGAGTAATGAAATGCGTTTGAGACATTCTCGGCACGCCTTTCATTTCCGCTTTACTATCCTTAGATTGTACCAGATTTCTCAGGCTGGTTAAACTTTTGTTTTCCCATTCTTTTAAGCTGGATCCTTCTACAAAACTGACTTGGCTTCCGATGGAATTGTCCACTGAAGGCTGGGTATTTAATGTTTTCCTATAATTAAATTTGTTGCTTGTTAAATTAAATAAATAAAACGTTTTTTTGGCCAAAAAAAATTATTTAATTCAAAAAGTCAATGACTTATCAAACGACCCTCGTATTTAGTAGAAAACGTTGCAGAATGTTAGATCTTATAAAATCCAATAAATATTTTACACAACTTAAATTGTTTTGAACGTTGAACCAGCGCATCATTATCCAGTAAAAACAATTTTAATACAGCAAAAAAACAGTTTTTTAAATTCAAAGTTAGTCGTAGTGGTATTTCATTTAAAATCTTAACGCATGCAAATAATTTTAACTATTTAATTTTTATTTACATTAATTTAAAAGTTTGTATTAAAATAACTGTTGGTCTGAGGATTTTACTTCAAATATTAATTATTACGCCCACAATTGGAACTTAACACGATTTTAACCACAATTTAATTTTGCTTGAAAATGATTCGTGGCGCGAAAACTCAAGAGAGCTTTTTGTAAAGCAATTGAAGGGTGAATTTTTTTTTAATCAATGGCACACAATTTTTTTTTAAATATTAGACTAAAAAATGTTTAATTCAATAGAATCATAGCCACGCGAAACCTTTTAGCATCTGCAAAATTTCTTTCATATCTTGTGTAGAATTCTTGTTGCTTGTTCACAGTTACTAGTTAAATCGTTTTAAACTCAAAATTCCATTTAATCGCAATAGAAAAACAATAATACAAAACATGAAAAGCAAAAAATGTTATGCTCATGAGAAGCAGCGGCCAGAAATTAGTACATTTAGGACATGGTGAACATAAAGAAATAGGAATGGAAACAAACAGTATAGTTAAAAAGCTTGAAATTACTGAAGCAAAATTACATAAAAATAATATTAGTTCAGAAGCGGTTAAACTTTTTTAATGGCATATTCAGAGTAAAGTCCACTTTATAATTAATTACTAGCATGCCAACATTGAAGATCTTGGGCACCAAAGGCATTTTTCGCAAAACGATCATTTTTTCCACGAAACGTTTCAATGAAAACGTAAATTATTCACACAAGCAAAATGTTGGACTAATGAACTTCTTAAATTGCTGAGTGAATTAAAATAGTTTTTTTCGGGAAAATCAATCGATCATTACTTGATTATCAGTCATAAAGTAATGTTTCCCAAAATGCGCCATTCTCGAGCCCTAAATATTGACGAAATACTGCAGGACTCTGCATATGATCTATCTCTTTTTGCAACTTAGTATTGATGTCGCATTTACATTTTAATTTCACGTGTTTGTCCCAATTTGCAGAAATGAAATACAGTGAGTCCCAGACGTAATGTCTAAATTCAGCGGTGGGTTTTTCGGAAAACTAGATCTCCAACAAGTAGAAGAAGAAGAAAAAGTTTCTGAAATAAATCGATCCTTTTCAGGACTTCAGAAATTTGAAGGAAATAATAACAAAAAAAGTCACATGTGCACCTAGAAATTGTTTGGTTCGAGCTCTTTCCCAAAAAACAGCGGAATTTTAAATAAAGTTACAATTACTTCCGAAAGTCACTATATAAGTTTTACTAAGAAAAACGATAATTAGGCACAAAAAAACAATATACCGACGAAGGGCAAGTATTATGATAGCCATAATGGTAGCCAAAACCTTATGAAAATTAGCCAATTAATGTCCAAACGAGATTAACTTCATTGCCCCTTATATTGATAGAATAACAATCAAGTATCCTAATTTCGCAAAGGTCAACAATTAATCCACCAGTATGGAAAAAACAATTTTTGCCACATTTCACTAAAAGATGTCATTCATCATCGCATCAAAATTCCAATTATGAGTCCCACAGTACCACAATACAAGATCTTGGTGCACGAAAACACTATCAGCATTCTCACTAAGTACACTTTTCATTTAAAAAATGGTTTCCAGAATACTCGTCTCAGCCCCAGCTCCGATTCCCATAACGCTCCCTCAATCTTGGAAACTTGGAGCATTCAACAGAAAGACTTTGGGAAGAACTTCAAAGAACCAATTGAGGTGGGAGTTTGGTTTTGAGGAACTAGCTATGAACCAATGGGGATTTTGTGGGTTTTCAGAAATTATAGCAAATTTTCCAGGAGTAGTTGTCCACCAAAGCCAGATGCAAAAAAATGTCCCCAACCAATCGAGGACGTTTGCGAGCCACCCAATGAAAAATCCGGCAAACGCGAAACAGGCCCAGAGGTCACTCCTTGTAGTCCAGAATGCCGAAAGGGGACTCCGAATTTACCTCCTCGCGGTTGCCTACCATGGGAAAAAGGGGCTGAATTATGTCCAGAAAAAGAACCAACAAGGCAAGTAACCAATCGCCTAATGATGTCTCCTGTTAAACTTCTATTTTTTTATGGTAGAAAATTAATTAGTGCCACTTGTGAACACTTGTGCCAACCTTATGTCGGACAAGGCATCATTGACAAATTAAAAGTATCCGCGTGCGAGTACCGAAGATTTGAGAAGTGCTTCATAAAAGAAAAAGATGCCAGCCAGTGCTTAGAGCTTGGGCCTAATATTGCCCTATCTCGCAAAGTAATATATCTAGATTATGTTTTCCAATGTTATAAATATTTCCAAACGTTTGCAGATATACCCAATGGCACATGCTGAACAGAAAAAATATCTACCAGGCTGTCCAATCAAGTCCCATCATTTTGTAAGACCAAAAACCGAACCAGAATGTTGAAAATATTAAAATACCTACTACTGTTCGTGTAATGAATATTCCTTTATTACTAGAAAAAATGTACGAATTTTTATTGAAGACTTAGATAATTTTACTGAAGTTTCAGTTGGAGTTCAGTAAATTAGTTCTTAAGTTAAATAGAGACAAACCTGGTGTGATAGTAAGCAAAGTGTTTCTTTCTGGAAGTTTTAAGCATATGTTTTTGAAGGTTTTCAATTAAGGGCCGCCTGTTTAAAAGGGTTCTGCAATCGCGTGAAAAACTATTTACTTGCTGACTAGTCAAAACTGTGAGCTAGTCAAAAAATATTGAGAATAAGGATGCAATTCTGGACTATTTAACGGACCGATTTCGTCCTGAAAACTGCCAACATTTCCTTATCGATTGTTCTCTTTCTAAAAAGGCCATTTAGTTCTCTCCCGAATGATGTAAAAATAATTTCTTCTTCGTCATTCTTGCTCATTTTGCTTCCGAGAAATGAGCAACAACGGGACGGAAAACATGAAATTTTCGCATAACTTGCTACAAATTTCGCTTTCTGGGTCAAAACTACTCGAATTTCCTCACCGAAGTTGTTATGACTGTGAATTCTGTGGCTCAAATGGAGCTTGAGAAACTTCTAAAAATGCAGCGCCATGTTTGAGTCGGTTTTGCAACTCAAAAAAAAACAGGCAAATCTAAAACTTCTTGAAATCAGAACTTTTTTGAGAAAACTGCCACTATTTCCTTATCGATGCTTCGCTTTCTAGAAAGGCCATTTATTTCTCTCTGGAATGATGTAAAAATAAGCGCACTTGCTCATTTTACTTCCGAGAAATGAGCAAAAACGGGACGGAAAACATAAAATCGTGCACCTAAGTGTCTGATATTCAAATTTCGCTTTCTGGGTCAAAACTGCTCGAATTTCATCACTCATGTTGTGATGGCTGGATCGAATTTTCAATTCTCTATCCAACGATGCCAAAACGAATTCTGTGGCTCAAATAGGTCTTGAGAAACTTCGAGAAAAGCAGCGTCATAACGAAAATTTTTCTAATTTCATAGACAGCAAAAGACTGATTTTCAACTACATGACCCCCCTGAATTGAAAGCTGGATCCGCCCCTGAACAACTCGGAAAAAAACAGCACTAAAAATACCCGCTTATATAGCATTGTTAACCATTAATGCCACATTTAAATTCACGTCACTTTCACATCTATTCCAAATCATTGTCACCTCATTAAAAAACTTAAATTATGCTCAAACCATTATCGTCAAACCCTTCACTTACGAGAAATCTATCGTTTAATATCTTTAAAAAGCGTGCGAACTGCTGCGACAAAGAACCTGCCAAACCAACGCCAAAGTAAGAACTTCGTAAACAATTGTAAAACTAGAGTAAATTATTTTTTTTATTACATTATTGTAGCTCCTAATATTCTGCCTGAACAACATACGATATTTTACAATACCACAGTTTCACGTATTTTCAGCCACAAATGTTTGGCAAAAATCACTTTTTTTAGCTGTGTAACATGCAAGGATCACAAGAATAGTTTCGAACCAGTAACTGCTCATCATCAGCGTTTTGGTTGTTATTTCCAAGCTCAAATCCTATCGAGAGAAATAATAAATTCGAAATCGGTCGGAAGTGATTGATAGCGAAACAACTAAAAACAAAATTTTTGCAAGTATCCATATTTAGATACTTTGCAGGAATCGCACGCTCTGATTCTCTCATTAAACATATCTATTTGTTTTCACTTAAGAAATGTTGAATGCCCTTCGTTAACGATATATAAAAAACGATCGCTAGAAATCATTGTTTTGCTCACCCATAAGCAGATAACAAATTCGTTTTTACGCAGTATAAATACACGACACCATTAAATTTTCTAAGTAGGTATTACAATAACTGGAAAACTTTATGTTTTCACAATGAAAATTGTTGAAACATTGTTATTCTTTTAAAGCATTTTAAATAAGCACTTCCTAGACAAAACCATACCCGTTTACTTGACTATTTTGAATAACGCAAGCGATCAAAATGCATGATATGTAACCCCATGAAACGTCCAACATTGCAGATACACTGTGCAAAAAACGTGCGAACCATCGATATTCGAGATTTGGAAGCCAAAAATCCCAGAACTGAATGCTTGCAACTATCCTACTATCAAAACAAGTATGATGATGCCATACAATCACAAGACTTGTACCGCTGGAATGAATTTTCGCGAAAAAACGCGCTGTGAAATTGAGGCAGAAGCGCGAGAATGTCAGAAAATGAACCATCCGAAGTGGATACAAAAATGCCCACCAGCATCAAAAATCAAGGCAAGTGTACAAGCTAGGATAAGAACCCCATGCTGATTATTGTTTTGGACATTTTTAGATATCTGAGCCAATAACACCGATGAAGGCGTCAATGGTCACGTGCAAAGGCGCAAATGGCAGCCAAAAGAAAATTGCGAAAAAATCGTTAAGAGATAAATGTGACCCTCCGGTTCCAGAAGGTGATTGGAACCCGGATGGTCATTTAAGCTGATAAATTGATTCATCTAAATACAACACAAGTAACATTTGTATTAATTGTAATTTTCATACTTACTGCCATTGGAAGCAGTTGCTACTTGTAGGAGTACCAGGTGACCGATCTTCCAATATATTGAGCGAATCGATACTCTTTTCAAGATTCTTCTCCGCTGTGCTAAAAAAATCAGTCGCTTCAGAAGCGATTTCTGCCCCGGATTCATTCTTTTCCGGAGACTCAATGTCCGACATGCACAGTAAGGGCGGCAAATGAATAGTGTAGAGCAATTTCAGTCTTTGTATGGCATCCGCTGTAGAAGTCAGTCCAAGAGCTCCAGCCAACTCTCGGAAATTTAAATAGCCATCTCTGTTACTATCCATTAACTGTATATTGAAAAATTTAGTGGCTGGCTTAAGAGCGGGGTAAAACACTTACATTGAATATTCTTGCAGCTAACGACTCCGCCGTTTCACCTTTTCCCCATGGTGATAGCGCGGCGAAGAGAATTTTAAAATAATCGAAGTCTATTTTATAAGCTTCATACGGTTGTAAGCTGGGATCGTGCTTATCTGGGATATGCTTTTTTTGACTGATAATCTCTTCTCTGACTAGACCAAGTAATTCCTATAAAACAGACAATTGTGGGTTTTTCACAGAAAAAAGTGGTTAACTACACTTTTTAAATCGCTGTATTTATGATTTAGCAACATTTACCAAAATTTAGATTTAAAATACAGTGTTAATTAGAACTTCATCAACAATCATGGCATTTTGCGCCATTGTTGGTTCTCCGATATGACCGAGATCTCCGAGTCTTTTAAATTTTATATGTAACGAAGCAGAAAAAAAAGATATTTCTAGGCCACAAAACTGGCAGGCTGAATATTAACTCGACCTGCAAATGTAACTGCTATATTTACCTGTAACTCTGGTTTCGTAAAATAACCATCTCCAATCACACATCTTAAAACATTTCGTTCGCAAGTATCTTCCAACTCTTGCACTACCCGCAGTCTATGTTTGAGTCTCAATCGTTCTATTTGGCCCGTGCTCAAACAGCCATATCGTCTGTACGCTTCGTAAATTAACACTTGGATTGAAACCGTCTGGAAATTTAAACAATATCGCTCGTAGACAAATTAATTATTTACTCATTTCCACTCACCCGTTTTTGTTCGTCATAGCTCTTATTTCTAATGGCACCTCGGCCTTCATCGTTAAAAATTCCCATCAAATACTCGGATAAAAGCTGCATTGCTTCACCTATTTCGAAAAAATACTTCATAAATTCTAGAAACCAGTTAAACAATTAATATTTCACCTTCATCTTTACACTGTAGAAGTTTGTCTTGATTCCACTCCAACAACGTTAATGCCACTTGGAAAATCACTTTAGCACCATCGTAGAAAAAACAGTCCATGACGTTCACAGCGGACTCATAGGGCATTACGCACAGAAATATTGTTAAGAACCAGGAAAGAGATATCATATTCATCATACCTAGAAACATTAAAATAAAAATAAACTTTCAAATTGACTATTAACGCTGATAGTTTTTACCCAACTGCAGCAATCTATCATGTAAATTAGGCAAGTATTCTAAGGTAAGCTCGTCTAAAATTCCTTGATCCACAACAGCACCAACTACTCTTTGGTTGTAATAGTCTGGCAGTAAATTTTCACACAAAGTGACCAAGAGCCAAAACGCCTCTTCCTCCTTGCAATAAATTAAAAGCACCGAAGCTGAAATCAAAATTTATAATCGGTCATCTATGGTTAATAATCGAAAACTCACATACTTAGGTACAATTGATTGCAAATAATTTACAAATGTTTACAAGATTTGTTGGGGTTTAAAGTCTTAACGTTTTAAGAAAACTTAAACAATTGCAATTTAATATGAAAAAAAAAGTGCTGCATAGATTCATAAATAATTAAATAAATACAAATATTCACAAGACGAACAAATAAACTTACCAACAATATTCATAGCCTGGCAATATCCTATACTAGGATTGTGTAAAGCATACGCGCATAGAACTCTTCTTAAAGCGTCTATGCCGATTTCACTCTGAAATGCTGGATGCTCAGGGAGAGATCTGTAATAGAATCAAGTATAAGAATTCAGTCAATTTTACACAAAAATTTCACTAAAATACCTGTGAAGATCCCTTTCAATCTCATCATTTGCCGTTGACTGTTTCTGTAGGGCTTTATCTACAAGGGACCGGTAATACCCAGGATGTGCTGCTTTAACATTTAACGCCCCTATAAGATGATAATAGCAGAGATTAGTAGATCTCTGAATAATAGAATCTCTGATAATAGTGGTGTTGTTTTAAAACAAAACATAAATGTTTAGTTGATATGCAGCTATATTATTAAAAGATCAACCATTAAAAGTCTTATGTCCCGTCCAGATCTAACGGACGCCGCGGCTCGGACTGGACAGAGTAGAATAAACAGTTCATACACACATGCGTGTTTTATTCATTAAAGCTGTTATTTTATTAGGAAGATTAGTTATTTGAAAACTGCAACTATTTACCAGAAAAAGACATCCAAATTTCCATTCTTAGATGATCTGGAATACCACCTAAAACCAGCTTTGCAACATCTGTCGTTCTATACATAGAAACGCCTCTTCCAAATGTATTAAAGTGTTCTTCCCATTCTTTGGCCTTTAGCTGCTGTCGTTTGCTCACCTCAGGTATCGGGCTTAAGGGAAACATCGTCATAAGGGCTTTCTGCGGCTTCCAAACAGGTTCCGTATCTATTAGAGGATCGCTTGCCCTATCCCCATTAAATCTGAAGCAATCAGAATTTTTTATATATTTTATAGATTCATTTACGTCTTCCGGTTACTTACACTTGCATTTCCTGTGTTCTGGCCAGTAACTCCGATAATTTAACAACGACGAAATCACGATCCAAAATTTGGGCAAAAATAAAATTGGTTCTATTTAAGGAATTTCCCATAGTAACAATAATTGCCTTTTCCAGCGACTGATTTGATGTGTTAGTTTCTATTTTTTCTGCGACAATAACATCTCTCAGAGGAATAACAACGCTAACTTGGGCTTTCACCTAAATAATTATAAACATTAAGAACCCCATTCATGGTAAAACTAGTCTACTTACTTTACTTTCAAAGCAGATGTAGTTTTGCGACAAAAATAGTCTCCCAGAAACATGTTTTCGGTTGAAAGGGGTCATTAATGTACAGTCGATAGAACCATCTAACTTCTCTGTAGATGGAAGTCTGAACAACATTCTGTACGCTTCCGACTGAGCTCGTGCATCTAAGTCTCTTTTCAGAAATGAGGCTTTTTTAGGGACGTTTTTGCTATAAAAGTTAAACAGCTTTTTTAATATGCACAAATGGTGAGTTACATGCTCTGTTTAATATTATCTAATTATCGTCACTTTCATTCATTAAAATTTGCTTTTTGTGCGAATGAACCAAATTAAGTCTTATTTGTAGATAGTCCGAGAGTAAAAACATTCCAATATTTCTATAAGAAATAAATAGAGATTTAAATAGAAGATGGGGTATAAAGACTAAATACAGATCTTGAAAGATATTCAAAATGTAGACCAAAAATAATGCTGCTTAATAATTAAATAAATAACTAAAGGAAATTTAAATAATTTTAGTAAATTAAGCGATGTGTCTTAAAACGAGTGTTCTAAGTCAAACTCACCTTAACTTATTTAAAAGTTCCTTGTCCTCCCGATAGCTTTTCTTATCATCAATGAGTCTGTAAATACATCCGATTAGATACATTTTTTTTAACTCACAAACTACCTTTTTACTGCCAAATCTACCAGTTGTTCCATCAGAGTGTACGTCTCGTTTTTTGTGAGAAACATACTAAAATGGTACTCTTTTTCTCTTGTAACAATTCTTATACTGTCTGGAAAGAGCATGCTGTTCTTTTTGTTAAGTTCAGTCACCTCTGACCACCTATAAAATAAAATCGGAATAAATAAATGAAAAAAATGCGGTGATAAATTACCTTATACAAACTTTTGTGTCTGTTCCCAAAATAAATGCATAAAAACAACAGTAATTTATTGACAAGTACATCCACCCTTGCCTAGGTAATTTTCCTTTCCAATAACTACAATCAATTTGAGAAAAAAGCAAGATTAAAGACTAATAAACAAAACATGATCAGAAAAACTCACCTACATGAATAATAATTCACAAGTTTTTCATCTTTAGGTAATCCAAACAACCGTTGAAATTTATCAGAAGTTACTTTGAAGGCATTGGAGTCTTCATCTAAACAAATTAAAATTCAACTTAAAATATTGCACGCTAAAGTTTCTAATTATAATAAATCTTCGCTAATTTTCTTCGTACCTTCGACTTCCTCTTGGTTGACTGCGATTACAGCTTCAATTTTACAATTCACAAAGTCAGTGATGTCGTCTTCATTATCAAATGAGTGCAACGTTTCACAAACATTTTCAAATAGCCATTCCCAATCTTTTAGAATCTCATATTTCGTCATACCACGAGCTATTACTAAAAATTGTATCTTTGTTGATGATCGAGCTATTATTGGATTTTGTGATTTCAAATGTGAAGAATATTGTTCTATAAATTGTCGCTCGTATTTAAATTTTCTTAATTTAATTTAACATTGGACAATTATTCTTATTTCTCTTTTTATAAAATTTATATTTTTTTTCGGCTTTGAGTTGATACCAAGAAAAAAGCGTATGGACACAAGAAACCAAAGGAAAACAGTACTACATAATGTGTGTATGAGATTTTCAAAAACTCTGGTTTGAAGAAATTGACTCGATTCAAGGAGTTTTCAATAATGCTATTGCACCTCATAAGCTTTATTCGACTTGAAACCTAAAAGGGTATTTTGATGACAAACTAAAATACTTTAGAAAATCGCTAAAACACCGAAGTAATTCCAAATTGGCAGTTTTCCCTTGTCCTCAGGATGTTAAGCCCTGTATGGAACCAAAAAAACCGACTTTTTTATTACTTAATTGAAGATCGAAACCGCTCAACAGAAAAAGGTTCCGTCGTCAAATTTGGACCGCCGACTTTAGAACTGGATCTCTTCTAATTGCTGTTTGAAGCCTTATCTAGTGCAGTTCTTTTTTCGGTCAGTGTGTATTTAAAAAAAAAATAGTACTTCAGATAAAATTTCTACAGGGTGGAGAAAATTGAACAGAAGGTCGTTTTTTTATTATTAAAACACCAGAAACATAAAGACAGACTAGATATCTCAAAGCTGTTGTATGTCTGCTGTACATTACTTTTATTTACAGCGTGACCAAAAAACAACAACTTTGTGGTGTTGCAGTGATAATTTTTTTCCTGCTGGACTGATTTTCAAAATTTAGAGCTCTTGTTGAAGCGAAACGACTTGAGATCAAAATTCATTATAAAGGGTTGCACTAAAAGCTACCCTGACTAAAACTGCCACTGAATTCAGGGAGTCTGGCAGACTTTCAATTAGAGTGAAGTTTACTTTCAAACAATCCTTTATTCATGCCACCCGGTCTATGAACACATTTCTACAAACGGAAATGTTATCACTGCATCCGATATTAGCGAAAAATTAAAAAACCATTATGAAATATGAGGCCTATATTTAAGCTTTTGGTGTTGAAATAAAAAAACCGTTTTTTTTTTGATCGACTGGGAACATGACAAACATTCAGAAAATGCTGCATTGTCTCATTATCCACCGTGGAGAAACTTTGTCTGAAGAAGTCAATTTTTGCAAAAGCACCCATCGGCAGAAAAACAATTAGACTAGATAACGCTTGAAACGAAAACAAAATCGCTTTTAGCGATCAGAAGGCATCCAATTCCAAAGTCCTATAAAAAGCTAATTAACAGCTGGTTCCTTGCTATTAACTCCCAATGATGATCACCTTGTATAGTGCAGTTTAAAAAGCGTTTTATAGGTATCTAAATATAATATTTCCAGAGGAAATACAATAGGCTATTATCTATTACAGATAAGAAATTGATATGGGTCTATTGTAATAAAGCAATAATTGTTATATTTTTTCTTACGATAATACACTTCTGAATTAGGTGTTTGGTGTAAAATCCTGTATGGGGCTGGCTTAGTATCGAAAATACTATCCATAGTCCCAACCAAAAGGGATGAAAGGCCTTTAACGCTACCATGGCCTTTTCTATGCTGAAGGACAAAGTATATGGAAGTCTCTTCCGTTTCCCTATAGACAGTAAATCTAGTATAATTACATCCAACAAACAAGCGGTTAAACAACAACTGTTATCTGTTTACTTTGTTTATTTAAATAATATTTGTCATTACTTTCATTCTAATAAGAATTTTAATTGATCTAGATATGCTGATCCATTAATACTGATTGAATCTTTAATATGCTTATTTTGATTAGATATCTTAGATTTAAAGAGTCTATCTACAGTTTTTGAACTCTCTAGTCTAGAGAACTATTTGCGATAGGCACCTACGCTTCGTAACACATGTTGCCGACACTTTTATCTACGTTACGGGAGCTAAATAGCTTTCCTCTTGATAATAAAAAATATTGATAGTGCATTTGGACTTATGTACCTACACAATTCAGAAATTTCAATATATTATTTGCTTAATAGTAAACTGTTGTAAGTGAAACTTCCCATTTAGATATATAAAAACAAACTTGTTCCACCATTCTAGACTTAAAATTGAATTTTATGCCTTGATCAACTGTTTACATAGGGCCTTTTTGATTATTGAATTTAAATTATTTGAAAATCGCCTTCCTCACCAGAACGCATTGGCAATGAGGACTTCTTCGGGCTTCACAAACATGTTGAAGAACAGGAAATCGGCTTATTCAAGCTCGATGTAAAAAAAATACTTTTATCAACTCTTCAAACAAACTGTTTCTCTATCACAAAACATTGCTTCAATAAGCACACGAATTTCACAAATAGAAAAGTAATATGGATTGTTCCTTTACTGTTTAATACAATAGAGTAACACCGATATCAACATTAGAATAAGGAACGAAGGAATAAAGAAATAAAATGGTTTTATCTAAACGAAAACAGCTAAACACTGTGTTTTGATAACAAATTGCAATAAATGTCAAAACTGTATTGTCTTTTAGTAAAAATCAGCTGTTTATTAATTGACATACAGACATCTACATATGAAATTTGAAGAATGGTGGTAAATGAGTGGAACAAGGCAAAGCCATAATCAATCCCTTGCAGTAGAAAGGGACAAACGCCCGAAATTGGTAGGGTAAATTTTGTTAAATATAACTATATTATAATTTTATATTTAACAGCTGCTGCTACTACGGCAATTTGCAAACTAAAAAATTCGCACACCAGGTCTTTGTTGATTTTAAGTCAATCTATATGTACAAAATATTTGATTTTATAAGACATTACTTTTATTAAATAGTCATCTATAATTTGGAAGGGTGTACGAAGCTTAGGCAGCCCATACTGATTACTGACAGTGACAGACGTCAGTTATATGTTGATGTTGTTTGTTGTGTAGGCTTTTAACAATAATTCCTTAGTTTCTTTATTATTTCGTGCACTTTATATAATATGTTTTACTTAAAAATTCTTTCCCTTTCTAAGTGTTTGGTGAAACTATAACCGTTAATATTGTACATACATATTCCACATCAGTACACTTTGGCCCAAGTAAGTCTGTCTTTGAACTTATTGGCTAAATCTGCTTATATTTTATGTATTTATGCCAAGGGGTGAATAGTTTTCATAAACTTATCATATTAGCGATTGGTGCAATGCTGAGAGTTATACTAGATGATAAAAGCAAACAGCAACAATGTACTCAATGATTAAACGTTAGGGTACAAACACCAAGTGCTTGTGATAACTATTGCCCCTTATTCACTATCACTTAAATAGCATGCTGTATAAAATGGTTTTCTCGTAAAAACTAAAGGACATTATTGAAATATGACAAATACAAACTTACCATTTGTTGAGATGGGAATTGTATTGCAATGAAAAGGAGGGCAAAAAGACGAATCAACAATCAATTTTTCCAATCGCTGCAATTCTTCAGGGCAGCGCAACGTAAATTCAACCAAATGGTTAAATATCTTTACCCATTTTGTATATCTTCAGATTTTCCCATCGCTCATTAATTTATTAGAAAATTTAAATTCGTCTTCATATTAGATACTTGAAACGGACAATATTATAAAATTTAATATTTCCTCGGCCATTTCTTTCGATACAAAACATAAATCTCAATATCTAGACCATTTACTTGCGATTAAGTTAAAAAACGTTGAAAACTGTTACCTACTTCCGAATGATACTTGTGTCAGACAATTCTGCAATTTATTTTTGTCTTAAGTTCTGATTCAATTTCTCTGAGTTTGACAAGTTCCTATTATCAAAATAGTAAATTTTCTTAAAACCATTCTTTCATATTTAAATTATTAATTTATGTTCAAAGATGACAACAGACTGAAACCAAACAGATTCAAAATGAGACTAAATTCCGTAACTGAAGTAGCAGCTGCGTATATAGTCACCTTCAATCTTTAGAATCGTTTTAATAATCCAGAATTTGTTTAAACATAGAAAATATGATCCGAGAATCTGAAATAATTGGGAAACACTGTCTATGGTGGCTGTAAGAACTGGTCACAAGATTTTTACGTTCGACGTTTGCATGCTTATAAAATAGTTTAGAATGACCGCACGAACCGTCAACGAACGACTAAAATTTAAAAAGATTGAACTAAACATGTGCCTTAAAACCTATTTCCAGTAGTTTGTTTGCAGTAAATTTGGTAATTTTAGTTAGCCTTTATTCACTCAAAAATTGTGTAACCACTTTACTTAAATTTCAAATTGTTTACATTTATTACTTATGTCTTTATCTTCATTATTATTATTATTATTATTATTTGTAAGTAAGTAATTTGATAAAATTTCAGCAGATTCAGTTTCAGCAAAAAACACTCGAAATTGTATTTCATGTTCACAAATGCTGCATTCTTCAAGTCTTCAGTAGATATTTTGTCTGCAGTAATTTAAATACTGATTTAATAATCGACTCATATGTTTCTGATGAGGCTCTGATGATGTCGAAAAAATTCAGCATTGTGAAACGGGTATACAATGTGGACCCAAATAAGTTTGGCAACGGAAAAAAAATAGATTGCTCATTAAGAAAAATCGAACTTTTTACGTCTGTGCGTTAAAATTTAATTTATTTTAAGTTTTCAGCCATTATATCAGGAACCGCTTGAACTACAGGATTGAGTTTTTGTACACATATTACCAGTATTGCTATTTTTTGTAAGTTAGTAGCAGTAGTGGAGATTTTAAGGTATCGCGTGCGTGTTTTCATGCTGTTTTAAATTTTAAAACTGAAAAACTAGCATTTTTGCTGAATTCTGCACAAAACGAATCTCGAGGTTTATTGCTCTAAAGTTAACTATGTTCGAAAAAATCAGCTTTTTATGAAGAGAAAGTCCCTTTGTAATAAACAAAAATATGTAGTAAAATAATTGACAATTTTAGCGAAATTTCAAGGTTGTACATGTTATATCTTTTTACATATTACTACTTATTTTTTTAATTATGAATTATTTTGAAAATGTTTGTTTTTGTTAAAACATGGCATTTTCCTCAAAAACGGTTAATTTTAGAGCAATAAAGCAAGGGAACTGTTTTTGTGTAGTTGTAATTCATTAACGCTTCAGTATTTGCTGTGAACATGCTAGTTTTTTTCAGTGGTTTATAAGTTGGACGGAAAGGCCCATACGATACCTACGAAATTGGTAAAAAGAGAAAAATTTATTACAATTTTGGCTCTGCATCTCGAAAACAAAGGCACTGAGAGAAAAATAGAAATTTTTTAAAATATGGAAAATGAATACATATTTAAAATATGGAATGTAATTCTTTAAGGACGAATGGCCACGGTAGATTTATAGCAGTTGTAAAACATGTTCTTTACTCGAGCAATGTTTGAATACCGAAAGTTTTATTTTGTTTCCTTACAACCAACTTTGGATTAATTAAGCCAGAAAAGTCCTAAACACGGCATATAAAACACTTCTAGTATTTGTTTCGAAAGAATTAAAATATATCTGTTACTAACATATTTTAATTCAATATTACTAATAAAATTAATTTTGTTAGGGGCGTAAAATGGACGCAAGTGAAATAAAATTTGAAGGAAATGGCGGCACAACATTCAATAGTGAAGAATACTGTGACTCAAAAACCGAGTCATCTGCTCGCCTAGACCATGACATAGAGGGTAAAATCATCTATAGCTATTTGCCATTTATTTATACTCCCGTTTATTCAGAAAAATCGATACTTGAAATGGATCAGATTTGCTGGACATGCTTGAATACCAAAAATGTCAATTACATGAAGGATACATGTATTGGAGATGCAAATAGTTTACAACTGTATGAAGAAATTGCGAACATTAAGGTATTTAACTAAATCCATTTGCAGTTGGTTTTTATAAGTGGAGCTTTTGAAGGCTTTGAGTTCGAGTTATCACTATTTTGATATTGATGAATGAATTACGTAATTCTTAAAATATATCAAAGATCACATTTACAGTAAACCTTGATTCAGTGTTAAACATTTTTTTAAATTTGTATTGTTTTGTTGTTTATTATTCGCGCTTCTAGAGTTTTTGTCTGAAATGCTTTTCTCCAATGCGCTGATAAAATCGATTGCTTGGAATGCTCATTTTTTAAGAATAACTTATATGGATCGCTTGTGAAAAAGTTCCAAGAAAAAATTCAAAATGTTTTTTTTTTCATTCAGTTTTCTAGAGTTTTTTCTTTCATTTCGACTTGATATTTGGCAAGGCCCTAAAAATAGGGCCTTGCTAAATTCCTGAGGGATTCAGTATTTTTAGAAGACCCATATAAGTTTATTAGTGCGAAAGGGAAATTTGAAATAAATTTGTTGCTAACAAAAAATATGTAACCAATAAAATATTATTACTTATTTGCCATATTTAACTGAATTTTGTTTTTATTATTCTCTGATTTTTCTAAAAAGCTTAAGAAATTTGTCCACTGTCTGTGTCGTTTTTCATAAATTACGTCATTCGACAAATATAATATATTTTCTAAATATTGGCAAATTATCTTTTTGAATACACAACTATTACTAATAAAATTGTTATATGCAAATTGTAGATCGGTTCCGATTCTAACGAGTCTATGCAAATGATGATGATATGTACAAATTGTTCTATTAAATTAGGAAAAGTTAACAGCTTTATTAAAATGGCGCAATTCCATTACACGATAATGGAAGAAGCAGCAAATCAGATTCAGAAACTGAATGCACAATGTGATTTTAATTGGGTGGATTACAATGTGAAGAAAACTGCTATATTGAGAAATGCATTGAGTAACAAAAAGATCCTAGACGACACAAATATTCTTAAAATCGAGCGTGATAATGGAGACCAAAAAGGAAATAAAAACGAACAAGACGAGAATGTTGATTGCATGTCTAGGTAAACAAATACATTCGGTTCACTTGATTGTTTAGTTACGAAAAGTAATGTTTCAGCATATATTATCGTAGTGAATCTTCTGATGATGACATTCCTTTATCAGAGAAATTAAAAATTTTGGTAAACCCAACACCAGAAACACTAAAATTTAACATTAAATCTCGGAAACGCACCAGAAGGAAGGTTAGTATTCACTAAATGTTGATAGTTTAATAGAATTTTTCTTCGAGATAATTGTATTTTCTGGTTCCATTGCTTGTTGTTTAGTTTTCATGTCGTTTTTTTAAATATGTTCTTGACTATGAGCGATAAATAGATTTTAAAATTGTGATCCTATTTTAGAACATTTCACCCAAGAGAAAATACGTTAGGAAAAGTAAAGAAAATTTACCAGATAACAACATAGACACAGAAAATGAAAATGCTTCCGATATAAAGGAAGTTTTAGATTTACCAGATGTATGTCCTTTGTGTCTGAAGCAAATTAGGTAAGATACCTACTAGCTTCGAGAAATTTTGATCAAAGCCATGATGGAAAACATTTACATTTTTTTACACTTTTTTCCGGGCTTTGAATATATATACATTTTTTTACTTTGTACTTT